TTCATGAATTATAAATATATTATTAATTATTCATCCCCTTGCTTGCTGCTAATGTGAACAAAGTGACCTTATTCCTCATCTGCTTACAGTGTGTCTCACATACAAACTATGACATTGCTTACCACACAGTTTAAACCATGTAATGATTTAAACCTGGAAAATAAAATGTAATTATAAGCACCATTAGAGCAAACACTGGTATGTGTTTCTTGATTCCTTAAATACAATGTGCTTTTTATTTTAATTCAGCATGGTTTCTGTTTGTTTTGTCTTGTTTTGTTTTTTTACATGCAGGTCAAAAGTGAGGTAAGAACTGGCCACGGATAATCTTAGAAGAAGGAAACTTCTTCTGAAGAGTTGTTCATTTGTCTCTCTGTAATCGCTGGCCTTTATTTTTTTCAAAAGCATGATAGTTATTTTACAGTTTGAAAAGTGAAGATCCAATCCGTCCACAGTATAAGCTAAGTCTGCCTACTTCTTGAGCACAGATCATCTGTTTATCTATCTATCTATCTATACAATATATCTATCCTCTATTTCTGATCTACTGTATCTTTAGGTTGATCTACAATATCTGTGTGTCTGTCTTTGGAACATTAATATTGGAACATTAATATCACATACAAAAGTGAAATCAAATTAATACTGTTTTGTGAAGCAGCTGTCCTGGATAGCGAAGGCTCAGTTTTCCCTGTGGTGCACTGAGTATGAGTCACGATGAACCCTGTGCTGACTCCTCATGGCGAGCTATCGATCCACTACCGGGATCACCTTCTGGCTATCATCTCTAGGCCTCATTAGCAAGGGCTTATTAGCTGAGTAGGACTATTACAGTTGCTGAGCAGAAGCCATGGTGAATGGGGAAAACACATTTGATCTTGTACTTTCATGTCTGACTGCCATTACCTGCCTAAATAGAACAGAATAAATAACTGAATAGAGCTAAAAACCCATGACACCTTGGATACGGTGAAATTGCTGATCATTTAAAAACTTAATTAAATACTGTTATTGTCATTATACCTGATTTTAGTGACTTGTTGATCACAAGTAAATAAGAGAGCTAAATACTGTTGGGGGAGGGGCAAGGACAGAGAGATGTGAGGCAAAGATAGTATGTGTGGTGAAAGAGTACAAGTGAATGCATGCAGTAGTTCTAAGAGCATCTGGAAGTTAATTATTGTAGTTTGATTAATTTGGCCTGCTTAATACATATGGGCAGCAGCTGCAGCAGCAGTGATGGTGATGTGCAGCTCGCTGTGGCAAAAGTCATACTCATCTGAGTCAGTTCAGTCACACAAACCACACGAGCACAATAAACATATTTTTAAATTCAGCTTAATCCCCTAGTTATAGAAACTGACAGACCATGTATCACTTTTTTGTTTAAAAATAAATGCACATGTTGTAAACATGCGCATTATGGTAAATGTTTTTTTCCTTTACTTGATTTTTCACCTACATTTATTTACGGTTCTAACATAACATTTGCTGTATTATTGGATTATTAGGGGAAGCTGTCATTTTGCAAATCTGTATTTTTCAAAATTTATTTTGTTGTATTTAATTCAATGAAATAATTAATACACTTTAGTCACTATTCTTGAGGGAAAAAAAATTTTATAAAGTCAAACAATATAGACAGCAACTTCCCAAATAGAAAAACTAGAAAACTTAATTTAGTTACAATTGCTCAAAAAAGAAAAATAAGTTCGTGAGCCATTTCTAAATAGTCACCACCTATTTCATTTTCAGTCGCCGCTGCTCCTCACAGTCCTCTGTAGACAAGAACTAATTTCCCTCTTGATCTTATTAGACAAAGTCCTTAAATTTAAAGAATAATATGAAGCTAAATTAATTCCATTTTCCTTTTCATTTAGATCACACAAACGATTGATTCTTTCTCCCTCAGCACCACCAAGAACAGGGCCGTGCAGAGACCTTTAGGGGGGACAGGTGCTCAAAGTTAAAAGAGGGGCACAGAGAACAAGATTCTAAAACACCATACACCAACATAATTTACACCATAACCTGTTGAATTACAGACACCTTCAAACAGACAATATGATAATTATTAACTTTGGCACCTAAAGAATAATAAACCCACCACAACTAATGATAGAAAATATTATATAGTGCAATATAGAGTTCACTATTGGTATTGTCTATAATTGATTACCTTTGCAGTAACAGTAAACAACTGATACATGTTATTCAAACTTTGTGTGCTCCTTGTAACTCAGCTGGACAGAAATTCACTGCTTTTATCAGCTTCAGGTAGCTCTTTTGTTTTCTTGTCTTTTCTTTTTTAATTTTCTCTTTACAAGGCATCTCTGCACTGCAGAAGAAAATATTATGATTAATAAATATAAGTCGACAGACTGCTGCTTGATAAGAAGGCAATGCGATGTGCATGTCATGAAAACAGTAACTGCGCAGGTAGGAAATTAGGAAACACAGACGCTAGCCGTGCTGCACACCATGTGTTTGTTGCAAGATAGGGGCCTTTGTCTGCTTGCTGTTCTGCTGACAGACAGCTGTTCTGATGACAAAGACAGAATACAGCACTCATGTCTCACTTTCAGTGTGGATTCCCATTAAGATGTACAGAAAAAAAGATGCCCATCAAACCTGTTAGTACATTTTCCCTAGCAGCACAACTGTGTTGTCAGTTAGCGGCTAACAGCTGCTTGCACTGTTAAACGCAAACGTGCTTGCTCACTTGGTCTTGTAAAATACACTAAACAGTGCACACATAATACAGCTGCAAACCACACTTACTGGCATCTGAAATTCCTCCTAATTATTTCACAGAAAAATAATCAGATACGATAAATCTCCCGCTGAGCTTCTATCTGTGGCATCCCAGCAACTGCAACTGTTGTTCAGCCAGAGCACATCACGGATGTGCCTGACCTCAGGTAAAAGGTTATCAAGTGATGTAAACTGATTGAAAAGCAGCCAGGTCATTTTATTTATTAACTGTTAAATGTTGTTCTCGATAAGGGTCAGTGGTAGGCCTTAACAAATAAACAAACAAACATAAAATAGGCCTTGAAAAAAAGGAAACTTTAGAAGCCAAGGAGCAAAAGGGGCAGGTGCTCAAGCACCCTCAGACTACAAAGTGCTGCTGGTGCCTAAACATAACCATAAAAGGTTTTATTAATAAAAGTTTCTTTAAGTGCATATTGTACTGCAAGATCAGATATTTTACTGGCATACAGATTGTCTGCAAACATTTTACTGATATGCTCAGCATCAATATTTTGTGACTTTCTCAGTACTAATAACATTATTGAATTTCACATTATCTGGACATGGTTAGTGTTTTCTACAAAATGCTGTTGCTAATCAGCTGTATAGAAATGTAATTTCAAGGAGACAGGGTTGGGGTGGCAGTGGTGATGCTCATAATGTTTCCACACATTCTAAATTTTTGTCTGTCAATGTTCTGCAGAGCACAAGAAGCCTGCAGAGTAATGTAAACAGAGCAGAGATCATGTGCATGTGCAGCTGACTCTTAATTTCAGAGACTGTAAATAGTGATGGGTGGTCTTAGTCTGGGGTGTGCATTTTTGAAAAAGACGAGCCTTGCAATTTTTGTTAGTGAGAAACAAGACACCCAATGCGGCAGTGTGGCTCACTGGTGTGTCTTTAATAGTTTATGGACAACAAAGGAGGTCTAGTCACATGCATTACGGAGAGCACATGCAATTCATTGTTGGTTTTAGTACCCACATGGGACATTAAAAAAAAAGAAAGGAAGTCATATAGCTGGAACAATTCATTTAGGGTGAAGGAAACAACATGCATCCATAGGATTTGACTACAACTTGTTATAGCTGACTCAGTTTGCACTCCAGCTTTGTAAGTTTAATTTCTTTAAAATTAGCAATATCAGGATGACATAGAGGGGTTTGTACTTCTTCCGTTTATGCTGATGGATAAAGTGTAAAAGTGTAAAAGCAAGTTTTGTCTAGAAACATTATTCAAAACTATATGTTTATGGGATCACGTACACTTTGTATTTACTGGGATGTTGCAGGGAGTTGAGAGTCTAAGACACAAATTATGTCATTCTAACATCTTAAATTTCAAACTGGGACCTTTGCCATCTGCTCTCTTTTCTCTCTTTCCTACCTTTCATATCTTTACTGTCTGTTATCTAATAAAGAAAAATGTGTCAACATACTTTAACTAAGATAGGAACTTCTAGAGAGCTGTTTAGTAAAACATTTAGCTTTCTCTGTAGAGTGGACAATATATTAGCCCTGTGGAAATTTCCTGATCATTTTCTTAAAATTTCATCCTATCTATTTCTGTAGTGTCCACCAGCAACGCCGCTCTT